GCTGTAACACAGCTCAGCTGTATCACACTTTGCTTTCACAATGCCTTGATGTTTTGTCTTTGATATGACTCTTTTTTCTTTTAAATCACAGGTACTTATTTTCAGTCTTGTTTTCCTCCATCGGTTCCTGCATCTGTGCAGTGGGTGGAACTGGCGGTATATCAGCTCCAACCCTTTAATGATGGGGATCACGGACTAAAAAAATAGCCTAGAATGCCAATGGCTGTGTGGAGGATGCAAAAAATGAGGACAATGTCTGCTGCTGGCCTAATACTTTGCCTTAAAAATGTAGTGTGGTGTTCTTGGGGGTTATTATTCTTCTATGGTTCAGCAGAGAATTTAGAAAATTGGAGTTAGCGTTTTCTTTTATTATCTTTAATTAAGCTTGCACATAGAATAGGCCAAAATGGAAACACTGCTCACATCTGACTGTGAATGTGAACATTCAGAATAAACAAATAGAATATTACAAATGAGAAAATAAAAGGGGCTTTTTTAAAGTGTTAGCCATATTTTTCTTTTCAAATGTTCTTTGAGATATAACTGGCAGCCAGACTAATCCAGGATCCAGTTTTTTGGCTAATCACACAAGGAGAACATAAATTATTATTTGCAGAATTTCTTTTTTTTTTTTTTTCTTGAGACGGAGTCTCGCTCTGTCGCCCAGGCTGGAGTGTAGTGGCCGGATCTCGGCTCACAGCAAGCTCCGCCTCCCGGGTTCACGCCATTCTCCTGCCTCAGCCTCCCGAGTAGCTGGGACTACAGGCGCCCGCCACCTCGCCCGGCTAGTTTTTTGTATTTTTCAGTAGAGACGGGGTTTCACTGTGTTAGCCAGGATGGTCTCGATCTCCTGACCTCGTGATCCGCCCGTCTCGGCCTCCCAAAGTGCTGGGATTACAGGCTTGAGCCACCGCGCCCGGCCTATTTGCAGAATTTCAATTACAAATTTATTTGAACCCAATGTTTCTTCTGCTTTTATGGTTTATTAAATCAGCATAAACTACAACTTAACCACACTATTAAACACATAGATTCAGGTACTTGAAATTAAACAGATCCAAGGTGAGAATTAGACAGAAGTAACTTACAAAGTTTTCCTCTTCCATATCATTTTTTACTTAAAATGTTATTATTAACAATTTTTCTAAATAGAGGTTTCCACTTTCAGCACTAACATGTAAAAATCCTGGAAGCTGTTACTCGTGTCCTTACGACAAGAAAATACTGAACAAATGCAAAATCAATGACTCTTGTTAGATGTGTCAGAGAAAGGAGTTTCCATAGGCTAATGTTGAATGTTACAGCTGAGACCTATTTACTGAGAACAAAAGCTGCTGGAACCATAGAATAGTAAGCACACTTAAATGGTAATTTGATAAATTGTTTGAAGCTGAATTGCTGGCCTGAGATTGAGAATTTCTTAAGAGGGCATGTAGACATAAGAGTGCCCCAATAATTTCCTGGGTTTTCCCTCCAAGAATCCAACCACATTCTTGTGGTAAAAATCCAAGAAATGTCACTTTGTGGCTTGGGCAGGGGCAGGAGTAATCATTGTGGAAATGTCTTGGTCATTCTCCATGACAAAGGACTCTTTTCCAGGGGGAAAGACTTTAACAAAGCTTTGTTCCAAAGCAGTGGGGAACTGGCATTCCTCTCACTCTTGCCCACTCCAGTTTTTCTGTTCTTTCTGAGGAAGTAGGGAACCATATAAGAATTAACACATGTAAATGTCATAGAAGAGAAACGAGTCAATAAAAAACTGAGAAATCTTCAACATCAATATCAACTGACAGAGCTGCACCAAGACTACTTAGCTACTCCCTCTTAAGTGTCATAACTGCTTTACCCCACCCAGCAAGTGCCTTCACATTTCCTGTATTATTCAGGGTTCTGCAGAGGTAGAGAGCCAATAAGATATATGTGTATAAAACAGAGTTGATTAGGGAGAATGGCTGACATGATAAAAGGCAAAGTTCCATAATGGGCTGTCTGAAAGCTTGGGAAAGAAAAAAGCCAGTGGCATGGCTCAGTCCAAGTCTGAAAGCTTCAAAACCAGGGAAGCTGACAGCGTAACCCACAGTCTGAGGCCAAGTGCCCAAGAGCCTTTGGGAGGCTACTGGTGCAAGTCACAGAGTTCAAAGGCCAAAGAACCTGAAGTCTGATGTTCAAGGACAGGAGGAGAGGAGTCAAGCATCTGGCACAGAAAGAGAAAGAAAGTGAGAGAATCAGCAAGCTGCTTATTCCTACTTCTGCCTGCTTTGTTCTAGCTGTGTGGGCAACCAATTGTATGGTGCCCACCCATACTGATGATGGGACTTTCTCTCCCACTTTATTGACTTATATGTCCATCTCCTCTGGCAACCCACCCATACAGACACACCCAGAAAAATACTTTAGCAGCCATCTAGGCATCTCCCAATTCAGTCAAATTGACACCTAATATTAACCATCACATTCTGCTCCCAGCCTCTCTTCCCACTTAGGGGGAGATCTTTCCACACTGAAACTAGCCTTTGAAGTCTGCAAGTGGTGACTACTCCATCAAATGCACATACATCAATATAAGACAACAAGAAATATGAAAAAGCAAGAAGACATAATACCACCACAAGAATGTAGAGGCTGACCCCAAACAAATGAAAGCCTACAAATTTCCTGACAAAGAATACAAAGTAATTATTTTAAGGAAGATCAGCAAACTCCAGGAAAATACAGAGAAATGACTTATTGAAATCAGAAAAGCGATAAGTGATTTGAAACGAAAAATTTTGCAGTTAAAATTATTTATTTAAATTATATAATTATAAATAATTATTAAATGATTAATATTTTAAATTAATTATTTGAGTCTATGAATATCTTTATCATTAAATAATTTTTGCATTATTAAAAAATCAAGTAGAAAATTCTAGAGCCTAAAAATATGATGAATGGAAAAAAAAGTTAATACAGAAAGTTAACAGCAAATTAAGTATAAGAATCTGTGAACTTGAAGTAATGTAAATATACTGAGAAAACAGAAAAAAGAAAACAAAATAAATAAGAAGAAAGCTTATGAGATTTATGGAATAGCATCAAAAAAGGAAAACCCAAATCATAGAAACTTTATGACGAGAAAAGTGGCAGAAATTTTATTCAAATAAATAATAGCAGAAAACTTTGCAAATCTGGGGAAAGATATAAATATCCAGATACAAAAGGTTAAATGTCCCAATCAGAGTCAATCCAAACAGTCTACATCAAGACATTGTAATCAAATTATCAAAAATCAAAGACAGGATACTGAGAGCAGCAAAGGACGTAAATCACGTATCAGGGAGTTTCAGTAGTTTTAGCAGGGGACTTTTTAGCAGATATAGATTAGGAGAAAGTGGAATTATTATTCTACTTTCAAAATGGATATTTTGAAATATTCAAATATTCAAGTATATTCAAAATGCTGAAGGAAAACAATTGTGAACCAAGAATACCATACCTAGCAAAGCTCTTCTTTGGAAATAAAGAGGAGATAGATTTCCCAAGCAAACAAAAGCTGAGGGAGTTCATCATCACCAGATCTGTCTTACAAAAAATGTTAAAGGTAGTACTTCAAGATGAGATTAAAAGATGCTAATTAGTAACAAAAAAATGAAAATATAAAACTCACAGGTAAAAATAATTTCACAACCATATTAAGAATACTCTGATACTATCATGATGGTGTGTAAATTACTTCTGTCTTTAGTATGAAGATTAAAAGACAAAACTACTAAATAGCTGCAATAATTTGTTAGGGAATAAACAATACAAAAACATTTAAATTTGGTATTAAAACTATAAAAATGTATGTGGGTGGAGTAAATTTGTAGAGTTATCTTATGCAATGAAAATTAAGTTTGTTATCAGCTTAAAATAGCTTCTATATAATATATAAAATGTTTTACATTAAGCCTCATGGTAACCACAAATAAAAAAGCTATAGTAGATATACAAAAGGTAAAAAGTAGAAAATCTAAGGCATACGACTAGAGAATATTATCTAATCACAAAGGAAAACAGCAAGAAAAAAAGGAAGGACGAAGGATCTACAAAACAACCAGAATACAATGAGCAAAATGGCATTAGTGAGCCCTTACCTATCAATATATTACCTAGAAGACAGATTAAATTCTGCAACCAAGAAACACAGAGTGGCTAAATAGAGTTTTAAAAAAATCAATTATGTGAATCATTTCACTTTTTAAGGACACAAATACAGTAAAGTGAAAGAATGAAAAAATATATTCCATTCAAATGAAAGCCAAAAGACAGCAAGGGTAGCTATACTGTTATTTAAGTAAAAATCTATATAACAAGACAAAAAGGATCATTATATAATGATGAAGGGTTCAATTTATCAAGGAGATGTAGGAATTATAAACATGTATGCACCACCAATCAAAACATCTAAACATATAAAGCAAATATTAATAAATCTGAAGAAAGAGATAGACTGCAATATAACAATAGTAGGGGACATCAATATCCCACTTTTAACAATGAACAGATAATCCAGACAGAAAAGCAATAGCAAAACATTGAACTTGAACTATACTTTAGACCAAATGGACCAAAGAAACATATACAAGGCAGTCCATCCAATAGGGATAGAATACACATGTTGGTTTAGAATCATATCACATGGTAGGCACAGAACAAGTCTTAACAACTTTAAGAGAATTGAAATAACATCAAGAATTTTTTTCTGACCACAATGGTATGAATAAAACGGTATAAATGGAGAAATTCTGGAAAATTCACAATATGTGAAAATTAAACAACATGCTTCTGAACAACAAATGGGTCAAATAAAATTGAAAGAGAAATTATAAACATCTTGAGACAAGCAAAAATAGAAAAACAACATATGAAAACTTAGGGGATGCAGCAAAAGTGGTTCTAAGAGTGAAGTTAGACCTACATGAAACATATAAACACCTGCATGAAAACAGAAGCAATATATCAAAGAAATAACTGAACACACACTTACCTGGCAGGGGAGATACCATGGTCATGAAGGTGGTTTTCCCAGGGCGAAGCTTATCCATTGCAGTCCGGATATGCTGACCCCTGTGATTTCCCCAAATGTAGGAAACTGAAATGTGTAATTTGCAGTAGTGGGGGACTGCATTCACGCTTTCCCCTAAAAAAAAAAGAAAGAAAGAAAGAATGAAAGAAAATAAATAACCAAACATTACACCTCAAATACCTAGAAAAAGAAGAATAAACTATGCATAAAGTTAGTAGAATGAAGGAAATAAGATCGGCATATAGATACATGAAATAGGGACTAGAAAAATCATAGAAAACATCAACACAAATAAGAGTTGATTTTTTAAAAAGATAAACAGACTATGCCTGTAATCCCAGCACTTTGGGAGTCCCAGGCGGGCGGATCACGAGGTCAGGAGATCGAGACCATCCTGGCTAACACGGTGAAATCCTGTCTCCACTAAAAATACAAAAACAAAATTAGCCGGGCGTGGTGGCAGGTGCGTGTAGTAGAATGGCGTGAACCTGGGAGGCGGAGCTTGCAGTGAGTCGTGGAGACTGTGCCACCGTACTCCAGCCTGGGTGACAGAGCAAGACTGCATCTCAAAAATAAATAAATGAATAAAAATAAACAAAATTGGTCAACCTTTAGCAAGACTAACTTAAAAAAACGAGAGAAGACTCAAATACATAAAATTATAAATGAAAAAGGAGACATTACAACTGATACCACAGAAATATAAATAATCATAAGGGGGTGCACTTGTACACTAACAAACTGAACAAATACCTAGACACATACAACCTATCAACACTGAATAATGAAGAAAGGGAAAATCAGAATAGATAAATAATAAGTAGGGAGATTTAATAAATAATTAGAAGTCTTCCATCAAAGACAAACTTAAGACCCTTATTCACCATGATAAAGTGGAATTTATCCCTGGGGTGCAAAAATGGTTCAACATAAGCAAATACATAAATGTGATATACCATACTAACAGAATGTAAAACAAACAAACAAAAAGAACCCATATCTTTTGTCATATACAAAAATAAACTCAAAATGGATTAAAGACTTAAATGAAAGGCCTAAAACTGTGTAATTACTAGAAAAGAACAAAAGGGAAAAGCTCTATGACACTGGTCTAAGCATGATTTTTAGATATGACTCTAAATGTACAGGCATCCAAAGCAAAAATAGACAAATAGGTTACATCAAAAACTTCTGCACAGTAAAGGAAACAATCAATAGAGTGAAGGGACAACCTACAAAATGAGATAATATATTTGCAAACCACAGTCTGACAAGTGGTTAATATTCAAAATATATAAGTAACTTAATCAACTTACTAGTAAGAAAACAAATAATCCAATTTTTAAAAAGGACAAAGGACCTAAATAGACATTTCTTTTTTTTTTTTTTTTTTTTTTTTTTTTGAGACGGAGTCTCGCTCTGTCGCCCAGGCTGGAGTGCAGTGGCCAGATCTCTGCTCACTGCAAGCTCCGCCTCCCGGGTTCACGCCATTCTCCTGCCTCAGCCTCCCGAGTAGCTGGGACTACAGGCGCCCGCCACCTCGCCCGGCTAGTTTTTTGTATTTTTTTTAGTAGAGACGGGGTTTCACCGGGTTAGCCAGGAAGAAGTTATACAAATGGCCACCAGATATATGAAAATTGTTTGACATCACTAAGTATTTGAGAAGTGCAAATTAAATCACAATGAGATATTACCTCACACCTGTTAGGGTGGCTATTATCAAAAAGACCAAAGGTAAGTATTAAAAAGGATACAGAGAAAAGAGAACCCATGTACACTGTTCTTGGGACTGTAAATTAGCACAATCATTATGGAAAATGGTATGGAGATGCCCCCCAAATTAAAAAAATGGAACTACCATATAATCTAGGAACCCTACTCCTGGGTTTATATCCAGAGTATGATAATATGTCAAATAGATATTTGCACTCCATGTTCACTGCAACAACAGCCAAGATATAAAATGAACTTCAGTGCCTCTCAACAAATGATGAGATAAAGAAAATGTGGTATGTATTCACGAAGGAATGCTACTAGTGAGTAGTATTTTAAAAGAAAACACTAGCATTTGTGATGACATGGATGAACTTGGTAGAAATTATTTTAAGTGAAACAAGCCAGGAACAGAAAGAGAAATACCACAATTTCTCACTTACATGTAGAATGTATAAAAGTCAAACTCATAAAAACAAAGAGTGTAATGGTAGGTACAAGAAACTGGGAGGTGTGGTGACTGGGGAGATATTCAAAAGTCACAAAATTCCAGCTAAATAGAACTAATAACAGCACATCTATTGTATATCATGGTGGCTAAAGTTAGAAACAATACATTACATACTTAAAAATGAGTGAGAAAGATTTTTAATTATTCTTACCACAAAAAAGGTACAAGTATGTGAGATAATACATATATTAAATATCTTTATATACAACACAAACATACACAATTTTGTTAAGAACATTTTAAAAATAAAAAAGACAGTTATAACACAGATGTAAAAATTGTCATGAAGGGAATTGAAAATAACTATTTATAATGTTAAGGGACAATGAAAAAGTGGACAACATTCATAAACATATGGGTAATGTTTAAGAATCAATAGAAAATGCTATAAATAAAAAACACTATTCCCACAAATGAAGATTGTCAGAGTGGATAATAAAAACAATGCGCAACTATAGGTTGTTTATAAGAACCTCACTTTAAAATAAAAGTGAAGTTACTTTAGGTTAGAAGTAAAAGTATAGGGCTGGGCGCGGTTGCTCATACCTGTAATCCCAGCATTTTGGGAGAGAGGCGAGCGGATCACTTGAGGCCAGGAGGTCAACACCAGTCTGGCCAACACGGGGAAACCTACCTCTAATACAAATACAAAAATTAGCCAGCCATGGTGTTGCGCGGCTGTAATCCCAGCTACTCAGGAGACTGAGGCATGAGAATCACTTGAACCCAGGAGGCAGAGGTTGCCATGAGCCAAGATTGTGCCACTGCACTCTAGCGTAGGCAATAGAGTGAAACTCTGTCTCAAAAAAAGGAGAAGGAGTAAAGATATGGAAAAATACATGCCATACTAGCCATACTAACTATATTAGTCCATTCTCATGTTGCTAAAAAAGACATATGGAAGATGGGGTAATTTATAAAGGAAACACATTACAAGAAAAAACAAAAACAAAAACAAATACTGCAGACCAGTATCTCTCATAGACACAAAAATTATTTGGAAAGTATTAGCAAATTGAAACTAACAGTGAGTGAATGAAATTTATTTCAGGTATGGCTCAACAATTAAAAAATTAATCAGTGCACCCTACAACATGAACAAACTAGAAAAGAAAAATCATAAAATCTTATCAATTGATTCAGAAAGAACATATAAAAAAATCCAACACTCATTCATGACAAAAACTCTCAGCAAACTAAGAACACATGAAAACATCCTGCACTTGATAGGTAATATCTGTGGAAAATCTATAACTAACATTGTCCATAATGTTGAAAAAGTGGATACTTACTCCTAAAACAGAGAACAAGGCAAGAATGTCTTTTTTCACCACCCTTATTCAACATTGCATTGGAAGTCCTAGCTAGTGCAAGAAGTCAAGTAAAATAAATTAATCAAAAGGTATAAGAGAAAAGGAAGAAATAAAGCTGTCTTTGTTCACAGATGACAATCAGAGATGATATGATTGTCTGTGTAGAAAATCCCAAAGAATCAATGGAAAAAGACCACCTGAAAATAACAAGTAATTATTGCAACAGTACAGGATACAAAGTTAATTTGAAAAATCAAATGTTTTCCTATATATCAGCAATAAACATTTAGAATTTGAAATTAACAACATAATACCATTAGGATCTATATGTGGAAAATTACAAAATGCCAATATAAAAAACAATGAAACTCCAAATAAATGAGGAGATATTCTGTGTTTCTGTATTGGTAGATTCATTACTGTTAAGATGTCAATTCTTCCCAGCTTGATGTATAGATTCAGTGCAATCTCAGTCAATATATCCCAAACTATTTGGTAGATATTAAGAAACTGACTCTAAAGTCTATATGAAAAACCAAAAGACCTAGAATAGCCAACATAATATTGAAGATGAAAAATAAAGGTGGAGAGCAGATGCTACTCAATTTTAAGAAATATTATATGTCTGCAATAATTAAGAGAGTATGGTATTTGTGAAAGTACAGAGAAAAGGCATGAGGAGAAGGCTGGAGTTATCAATAGACCATATTGGAGAACTCAGAAATAGATTCACATATATAATCAAATAATATTTGACAACAGGGCCATACAAATTAAATGGAGAAAGGCTAATCATTTCAAGAAATGGTGCTGAAATAATGGAACATCAATATGCCAAATAGTGAAGATAGACAGAGACCTTACCCCTTATAGGAATATTAACCGAAATGGATCTTAGGCCAAAATGTAAAATACAAAACTATAAAACTCTTTGAAAAAGGCATAGGAGAAAATCTTCGTGAACTTGGCTGTGGTGATGAATTTTTAAGTATAACACTAATAGTACAACCCCTAAAAGTAAAAAAGAAATAATGTTTGACATTATTAAACATACAATTTCTGCTCTGGGAAACACATTAAGAGAATGAAAAGACAAGGCACAGGTTGGTAGACCTCAAAACACATATCTGAGGAAGTACTTGTATCAAAAATAGACAAAATACCCTTAATACTCAACAATAAATAAACAGCCCAATTGAAAATTGTCACAAAAAATGAAAAGATGCCTTATCATAGAAAAGATACAGATAGCAAATAAGCATATGAAAAGATTTTCAACATGGTTTGTCATTAGGAAATTGTAAACTAATACAACAATAAGATATCTCTACATACCTTTTAGAATGGTTAAACTCCAGAATAAATTGACAATATCAACTGCTGGTGAGAATGCAGAGCAACGGAAATTCTCATTCACTGTTGGTGGGAATGCAAAATGGCATGGCTTCTTTGAAAGACAGTTTGGCAGTCTTAAAAAATTTAACATAGTCTTTTCATACATTCCAGTCATCATGCTCATAGGTATTTACCGAACTGATTAAAAAAAATTACCCATAATGTACATGAATGTCCATAGCAGC